GTGCATAACACGGCAGAACAAAGTAGAAAACCGGCAGAAGCAGAACATAGCAGAAGAATCAGAAAATCAGAAACACAGTAAAAAAAAATAAAAATAGGAAGAGTTCCAGAAAATCAGAAGAAGAGGGGAAAAAGTAGAAGAGGAGGTTCCAGCATCACAACAATAGAGTTCTAAAAATGAGAAGCATAGGAAAAAAAAACAGACAAAGTTCTAAAAAATCAGAATAAGAAGGGGGAAGAAGTAGAAGAGGAGGAGGAGGTTCCAGCAGAAAGCAGCATCATAACTACAAAGTTCTAGAAAATCAAAAACACATCAAAAAAAAAATTAAAATAAAAAAGTTCACTCAGGCGATCGCTTCTTTGCCTATTCTTTACCTTGCTTTTCCTACGCTCGCTTCGCTAGTCCTATTCAAAGCACCATGGGGTCGCTTCGCCTCGCTTCTCGCCTAGGCGTGATTTTCAAAACATCGTCTTTGAGATTTTTTATATTCCTTCTTTTTCTTCCTTTCCTCCAAAAGTTTTTAGGCGTGTTTGTTTTGTCCATGATTACAGACTATCCAGGGACACTTGACTCCAAGGCTTTGCGGTGTATTTTTGTTGGTTATTGTGCCACCCAAAAGGGATGTAAATGATATCATCTACTATATCTGAAAGATGTATGTTAGCCTAGATGTTCCCTTTCGTGAATTTGAGATATTTTTTCTCTATTTTCTAACCATTTCTTTAGATGAAAAATATCAATATTGAGGAAGAGATAGTATGTTAGGAGCCTATTCATCAATTGCCTTTTCAATGGTATATTAGCAAGGGCGAGTAACAACTTATTAAGGAAAAAAATGCTACTAGTGGTTCTCATGGTGCTCTCTTTAACAAGGATAATCCGAAGACTTAATTTCAACAAGAAAAACTACAATAGATCACGCATGTACCGCCAAGCTAGATGAATTTCCCAGCTCCAGTTCTTACATCTCCCATGGATTTATTAGGTAATGAACTGTTAGATCCTACTATTGATAATCCAGTTGTTGATAACTGTGAACTTTCTATTGTTATCAAAAAGAGTGTTCAAACCTGTGCTCAACATCTCATCTCTAATTTTGTCTCTTATGATTCCTTATCTCCGTCCTATTGTACTTGTTTCTTTCTTGTCGCCTGTCTCTATACCTCACGGTGGAAAGAAGCTCTCACTGCACCTAAGTGGAGAGAAGATATGATAGAAGGAATGAAAGCCAAAAATTAATGACACAATGGAGTTGGTGTCTCTTTCTGCTAGGGCAAGGTTAGTATGGTGCAAATGGATGTACACTATCAAACAACAAAGCTGATGGGACAGTCGAGAAGTATAAAGCTAGGAGACCTTTGCTACACATTTTCTCTCTCGTGCAGCTAATTTGGGTTGGAGTCTGCCATAGTTGGAAGTAAAGAATTCCTCTCTTCATGGAGATTTAGAGGAGGCATATATGGAGATTCCACTAAGTTTTTCATCCCAACTATTTGAAGGAAAAGTGTGTAAGTGGAAGAAATCTCTTTATGGATTGAAACAGTCTCGAGCTTGGTTTGATGGGTTTCCCAATGCTATTCTAAAATTGGATATAAGCAAAGTCATGCTGAGCATACTATGTTCATGAGATTGGTTGATGGTAAGATAATGGTTCTCATTGTATATGTGGATGGCATACCAATAACAAGTTTCGAAATCAATAACTTGGGTCCTTGGAGATACTTTCTCGGGATTGAGGTTGTCAGATCAGATAAAGGTATTTTAACTCCCAGAGGCACTATGTTCTTGATTTTCTTAAAGAAATAGGTATGTTGGGATGTAGACTTGTGAATTCTCCTATTGAAGTCAACCATCGATTGAGTAATGGTGTCGATGATATTGTAAATAAGGAGAGCTATTAGAGATTAATGACGAGATTGATATATCTCTCTTATATTTGGTTAGATATTACTATACAGTGGGTGTTGTCAATCACTTTGTGCATGATCTCCGACTTCATTTTGAAGTTGTTTATCGTATTTTGAGGCATCTCAAGTCAGCTCTAGAGAAAAGGATCTTGTGATCCAAATTTTTTTATTTTTTTTGGGGAAAGTCTTGTGATCCAAAAATTGAAACCGGAAGAATTTAGGGATGTAGACTGGGTAGGCTTAGTGGATGACAGATGATCTACTTCAGATTACTACACCTTGATAGGACGAAACCTTATCACATAACGAAGCAAAAAACAAGTCGTGATAGTTCAGTCTAGTGTGGAGGTTGAATACAAAACAATGATCCCATGAAATTTGTAAGCTTATGTGGCTCCAACTTTTACTGGGAGAGCTAGGAATTTAGGATGATGGACGTATGAGACTATATTGTGACAATAAGGCTACAATCACATTGCTCATAAATCTAGTTCAACATGATAAAACTAAGAATGTTTAAATTGACCGTCACTTCATCAAAGAAAAGTTGAATAAGCCTTTGATTTGAATGCCCTTTGTGAAATCAAAAAATCAATTAGCTGATGTCTTCACAAAGGGGCTTAGTAGGAAGGTTTTTTTATGATATTGTTTACAAGTTGGGTATAAGAGATATCAATGCAACAATTTGAGGGTGAGTGTTATGTTATGCCTTATTTCTAGCTTATGGGCATTTTAGTACATTATGTTTATATATATGAGCTCAATGTAGTTGTGTGACCTAACACTACTCTATTTTCTCACATTTTCTCTTATTCATCTTCTCTTCTCTAAAAATGACATCACTATCTAATTGACAAAATTATTGTAAGGGGTAGAAATCGCTACGGATCTCATCCCTTCACTCAAAGGATTTCGGCTGACCTGGCGGCACCGAGCCCCAGTAGCCTTTACCTCTCTTCGCCAATAGGACCCTTTCCTAAGGCAATCCCACATCGGAAGAGAGTCGTCTTCCCCCTCGCATATAAGCCCTTGCACTCAAAGGAGGAGGTACCCACTAGCGACCTGATCGTACCTCCTCCTTTGAGTGCAAGGGCTTATATGCGAGGGGGGAAGACGACTCTCTTCCGATGTGGGATTGCCTTAGGAAAGGGTCCTATTGGCGAAGAGAGGTAAAGGCTACTGGGGCTCGGTGCCGCCAGGTCAGCCGAAATCCTTCGAGTGGAGGGATGAGATCCGTAGCGATTTCTACCCTTTACAAAAAGGCGCCTTAAGGTGGACATGATTGCCTCCCTCCGAAAGGATTTTGGCTGACCTGGCGTGTGCCAAAGCGACCACCCAGTAGCCTTTACTTCCATCCCACATCGGGTAGGAGTCGTCTTCCCCCCTCGCACATAAGCCCTTGCACTCAAAGGAGGAGGTATCCACTAGCCACTTGATCAGGTGCCTAGTGGATACCTCCTCCTTTGAGTGCAAGGGCTTATATGCGAGGGGGGAAGACGACTCTCTTCCGATGTGGGATTGCTTTAGGAAAGGGTCCTATTGGCGAAGAGAGATAAAGGCTACTGGGGCTCGGTGCCGCCAGGTCAGCCGAAATCTTTCGAGTGGAGGGATGAGATCTGTAGCGATTTCTACCCTTTACAATTATCATGCATTGCCCTAATGTGTGCTGACCTTTTCTGTCCTTTGTGTATGTTTGCATGTATGTGCATTTTATAGCTCATATGAATTGGTTACTTCCCTTTTTTCAAATATGTTTGATTAAGATGGCGTTCATTACTTTTCAGTAACTTGTTTCCCTTTTTTAAATTTTTTGTTGAAGCGTTTGTTTCTATTTGGAAGATAGGTTTATGAATTGCTCAAAACTGATCATCAATAGGAGGAATTTATTCAACAACTCTTTTGGCACTATTTCAAAGCTCTTAGATAGTAACTTACTCTTCTCTAATGGCAAATCTAAGTCAATTGTAGTTGCTGGTTTTTCCATCTTGTTAAGCTCCACAACAAAAAGTTGTTTGGACATTCATTTTTTACCATAGCCTCTGGACAAGTAAGTAGCATAGATGCTTAGGATTGTGTTGGTTTTTCTACTTGATTTCCTCTATCTTGAATTATTGGATCGCTTGTTGCTTTGGGCTGCATTTGATGAACCTTCTCTAGTTGCACAGTAGAATCCAAATAACTTTGAGTTTTAGCCCTTTGGGAAGAAGAAACCCTTGTTGTATAGTGGCTGTCCAAGTAATTCTGCCTTTATATTTGCACTTAAACCAGCCTTGAATCGAGTAATTGTTTGGCAAGGGTCTTCTACGATACAATTTTTCAACATTAGGTCTTCAAATCTTTTAATATACTCCGTGACAGATAGGTTACAGTGCTACAAATTAATAAGTTGTTTGCACAACTTGCTGCAATAGTTTGAGGGCATATACTTCTGTTCAAGCTTAGCTGTCATCTCTTACCATGTATTGATTGATGACAATCTCAATCTTCTTAAGTCAGCTTCAACACTAAACCACCAAATTTTTGCCATACCTACAAGTTTTATCTTGTCAAACCTTATTCTCTGCTCGTCCAAAAATTATACTTAATAAAATATTCCTCAATAGAAGTAAGCCAACCAGAGAATATTGTAATATCATTCATTCCATCAAAATCTTGTATCTCCATTATCATATGTCAATATTTAAGTTTCATAACATAGTATTTTTTGGCTCTGATACCAAAATTGATGTAGGACAACTTTGTAAAATAAAAAGTGAAAATTGGGACTGAGTCCTTCTTAAAGGATTTATAATGAGTTTAGTCCGTTAATGAAACTTATTTGGAGATAAGTCCGTTTTTAAACTTACTAATAAGTAGTTAAGTCCACTACTTGTTTAAAACTCCAAAATACTCTGTCTTGAAAGCAACGTCAAATTAGTTTTCTAACTTGGGAATTGTTATCCCTTAATTTATTATCAATGAAGATATGCCAATAATTTTTTTACATAAATTTGAAATTCAAATTCAAAGAACAACAGATACTCTCCTTCTCCCCTCTTTGTGTGTGTGTTTGTGTGTATATATATATATATCTACTACTAGTTCCAGATTTCCATGGGCACCATAAGTTTTACTGTTGCCATAACCACTAGAATAATGCTAGAGAAGGTACTCAAGCAGCTTCGAGGAAGAAAGCAACGACAACTTTTGCTTGAGGTGTTGCAAGCTCTACTTGTACTTGGGGTGTATTTTGGGACTAGTTTATGATATTGTCATTTGTTACCTATTTTTTTCAATATCAAAACAAGCTGATTTTAGAATACTATTTAAGGGTTTTCACCCATTTTTATTATTTGGGTGCTGTCTTTAACATTGCTTTGATCGTTAGTTGATCTGAGATTTGGGAATTGATGGATTAGAATATTAAGAATCGAAATTCTAATGTTCTTTAAAAAAAAAAAAGAGCAAAAAAATAGATGAATAAACCTAAATTATGATAATAGTGTTTACTATAGATGAACCCATATGGAATCGTCGAAGTAGATTATTTGTTTTTGGTTTAAATGTTATTATTTTTGTTTTTGAATGTTACTATTTTTTATTTTGTTTGTCATTAAATGTTATTGCTTTCGATTTTGAATGTTACTATTTTTTGTTTTTGAATGCTTTAGGTCATTGGTTTTTTTTTTTTGACAATGTTATTGTTCATGTTACTGTTTTTGTGAGTATGTTACAGTTTTTGTTGGGTATATTACTGTTTATGTTATTTTTTTTGTTGAGCATGTTACTATTATTTTCCTAAATTTTAATACTCAATGTTATTATTATTTTTTTTGAATATTACTATTTTTTGTGTTTAAATGTTACTACTTTTTTGTGTTTAAATGGTACTATTATTTGTGTTTGAATGTTACTATTTTTTGTGTTTGAATATTGTTATTTTTTTTAACACGAGAGAGAAATAAATAGTCCTTTTCTATATATGGATATAGATAGATATGAGAGAGAGAATTTTAATGTTAGTCAAACTCCTAAAATTTAGCAATTGTTAGTACTTAAATTTGTTTAATTAAACATAACTACTGGGTGTATTTTGGACAATGGAGATCAAAATGGACTTACTATTAAATAAGTTTCCTTGATGGACTTATCACCAAATAAGTCCACAAAAGAGAACCAACCTCCAAATTTCTCAAATAAAAATAGGGGCTGTTTTGAGGCAGCGAACAGTACCTGTGAACAATAACTTTGATTAGGAATCATTGCTAGGGTTCTTTATTGCATCACACAATTCAAGAAGCATATAATTGCTAAATTTTTTAAAATATCTCTCTATATTTTATTAATAGTAGCACTAACTATATATAGAGTTCTAAGTGCTCCTAATCCCAAAAGATTAAAATTCCGAAGTCTCTAGGACTCCAAAACCTCCCGATCACTAAAAATTAGAAGACTAAAACAAACTAGAATTATGACTCTAAATTCTAGCATATCTAATACTAGAATTTGTCCCAAAAATATGACCCATTTCAAAAATTCTTGAAATTACAAAAATACCCTTGATCCTAAAAATATAAAAAAGACACATCAATTACTAAATACTAGCAAACAAACTTAAAGGTAATTAGAAATAGGACTCAAATAAAGCTATGCAAGGTTCCATATAAGTCTTTGTCTTCATGGCAAGCCAAATTTCACAATTCTTCGTGTCTTTGAATTTGTCACTTCTTGAGCATCTTATGGATTGCATCAGGTAAAAGAAGAGAGAAGAAAACCATAAGCATCTCTCACATATTCCATTCATTACAAGAGCAAATTTAAACCCTACGCCATGAAAAAGACTAAGCTACCCCTAATTAATTAAGCAAAGATAATATACATTCTTAACAAACATCACCTGTTACCATATAGCATATTTCTCTGTGGAGCTTTAAGCATAAATGAAAATTCCATATCATGATCAATTTTCAAATTGCTTTCTGAATCTAATTCTTGTATAGTCCACTATAACATTGAAATGTTCCTTTTTTCCTTCTGCGATTAATTGTTTACTTGTTGTGGTAGATACCATTTTCAGTGATTTTGAAGCATCCAGAAGAAGATAATTTGGAAAAATTGTATGAAACCTACCATGGAACAAATATTAGCATTCAGGTAAACTTAATCAGTATTTGCTCTTTGCTTTGCCTGATCTCCGTCATATGAGATTGTGGTATTTATATATGATTATGCTTCTGATGCTTGATTTCTAATGATTACCTTGGTAGTATCTGGTAACTGTAGATGTAGTGAGAGGATACCTTCATAAATCGATGTCTGCCACATTGGAGTTCATAATTGAATGTGAAACAGGTATGATTCTCTTCTTTTTATGTAGTAACTTCAATATAAATGTAACTGATTGAGCCCCCTGTTTCTGGTGTGTTCTTTTCAGCAAATATTGCCGAGAAACCAGTTTGTTCTGAAACGGTCATCTTTTATATTACTCAGGACACACAAAGACATTCACTACTTCCAGAACTGAAATCAGGTTCTTCTCATTCTTGTCCTTTTTTTTCAATTATTATGCTAGTTTGAGAGTAAAAAGTTGAAATCCCGATAAAAAATCTATTTTTTCCCATGTAATTCTTAATATCTTGATGGGCAAGGGGGTTGCTTTGCACATATCGAAGGGGAGAAATGTAGACATTTAAGAAAAACATGGATACCCTCATGATGCGTTTATATTGTGTAATTGGCGATTTTTATTCTTGTCTAGGTGGTTTCCGGGTAACTGGAAAAATTTGCACTCAGTGTTCATTGTCAGATCCTATTAGGGGCGAACTAAAAGTTGAAGCATCTGCAGTTCCTATTCATTCTATTGACATCCATTTGCTTCGTGTGGAGTCTATTTTGGTTGGGGAAAAGATTGTGACTGAAACCTCTTTGATTCAGGCTACTCAGGCAGGCAACATTGTACATTTTCAAACAACTAATAGTTCTGTGATATAAAATTTAACTTCTTCCTCAGCTATAGTTTCTTGCTTACTTATCAGATAGCAGAAGGAGATGTCTGCCGTAGCATGACTCTTCCCATTTACGTCATACTTCCCCGTCTTATGACTTGTACAACCATTTTTGCTGGGTGAGTTTCTGATTCACCAACAAATATCCCCTTTACGCTGTTCAATTTATCAGTTTTTTCCTTAAGCATGAGGACACATGTTTCTACTTACTTTAGCGCACATATTTGCACATATTAATTGATTTATCATCTTCTCTTCTATTTCATTTTTGACATCTATTTAGAAAAGAATAAAAACTCAGTGTTGGTATGTTTACCCAACACATGTTTGATGAAATTGTTGCTGGAGCTAGGTTAAATCACTTGTTCTTGTTTTCCCATGTTGGACACATGGTTGTTGAGGGAATGGGAGCATTTTGAGTGGGTACAATTCCCAGAAAGCTGTTAGTGTTAGTCTCATAGGTCTAATACTCTTGAGTCTTAGGGGTGCTTTATATGAGCTTATAGTAAAATTGTGTGTTGCTTGATACATCCCTCTCTGGTTATTTATTACAATTTTGATAACATGATTTATTGGAGTTTGAAGGAATTTAAGAATGGGGATAATCCTCTGACTTCAAAAGCTCGAAGTGCCTTATCAGATGACAATTAGAGAAGGTGAGAATCAAAGTGCCAAAATTTTTCCACAACAATTTCCCAATCTAGCCTCCCCATTTGCAAGAAAGTTTCATATACAATTTACATCATGATGCAGCGAAAAAAATGAATTCAATTCCTTGTCACGAAGTAAAAGACTCTCAGCTATGGAATTAGTGAATTACCATCTTACCCTTTGCCTAAGACAAGAGTCCTGTTTACCAATATAAGTCCCAAGGCCAATATGGTAATTCCTTAGCGTCCTTACTTTTGCTTTAACCTCAAATTCCACACCAGAGGGCTTTGAATACACCTGAATACAATGTTCTTACTTTTGTTGTACCAATGAGGGATACATGATCTGCAAAAATTGTCCTAATCTGAATGGGTTCAAAGAGAAGAAAATCCAAAACTTGATTTCACTTAACTGGGGGATGGATTGAAGATTGGATCAAAGAAATCCACAAAAAAGGAGCAAGGAACGTATTCTTTATGGTTTATCCAGAATGCATCAGGAAAATAGAAAAGAATTCTTAAACTGGGTAACTAAGGATCAGTTAAAGAAGGGTAACAAACAAAAGAAAAGTTTTATCAGTTGACATCCTAATATGATGGCGTGTATAGTAGTATAGTACTATGTTATACAATTCCTTGTAATAAGTGTTCCATTGAAGGGTATATTTGTCCTTCCCTTTGATTGTGACTGTGTATGAGTTGAGGGTGAGAGGTAGGACGTAGGATGACAATCCTTTTCATCCTCTAACATAGTTCTTTAACAATCCTCTCTAAACGCTAAACTTAACATATTAACAGAGTATATTTCTTAGGGTTTGCACTGAAAATATTGTTTGCCTCCTCTTTTTTTTCTGTGTCCATTATTTTACTTCCAAATTACTCTGCAACCTTGTCAGGCTCTTCTTAGATCACTAGTCATCCTATTAAAGATAACTGATAGATGGTTAGTGACACAATGGTTGTTTGTGGTTGAGGCTGCGTACATTTGTAGAATTGGTCTTTGCTGTTTCTGTATAAATTGTTCGGGTTTATTTTCTTGCCGTCATGGGATCATTTCACTGTGCTTTTCTTGTCTTTGTTGATTTGGTCTTGATAATCACAGATGTCTTGGATGTCATCATCATGGTTAGGATATGTCGGTGGTGGTGTTGTTCAGCCCCGTGGTTGTTGTCGTGGTTGAATCAGTTGGTGAGATTTTGTCAGAGAACTTTCCTCTGTTACTATATTCATTGCAGAATTGAGGAAGTAGAAGTTGTTTGAGTACTGATTTGTGTGTAGCTGGGTTGTTGCCATGATCTGTGGTACTCTAATTAAAAAAATGCAGTTTTCCCGCTGCTTGAAATTTCAGTTCCATCGCTAATGTTTTTACAGCTTGACGAAGATGACATCAATGTGTTTTGTGACTCGGGTCACTAATTGCCCTCAAGTGTTTGGACACGATCCATTACTTAAGACGCGGATCTCTTCAACCCGTTCTATTTGGACCCGTGTCAAAGCTGGTTCTAATTACCTGATTTGGTGTTGTAAGGCCAATTTTTGGGCCGGTTCAATCTACTTTATATGTGATCCATCTAGTGTTTCTTCTCAGTTCAGCACAGGTTCATCATTTTAGAGCTTGAACATAAGAATTATTTACTTACTAAAAGTGAGTGAAGTGACCAAATTGGGCACGAACGGTATAACAAGTAATAAGTTTTGTTGTGAGCCCTCGACGATTGGGAGGACTACGCTTTTATTGATTTAAAACTTGATTAACTCCTCTATTCTAGTAGGAATGAGGGAACGTATTCATAGCTCTCTCCCTATAGCCCAAAAAACGTAGGGGAGAGAGCATACGAGGCGGTGATCGAAGGACCTAATCAATCTATCTTGTTATACTTTTACTCTGACTGTGTTAACTATCTCTTAAGTGAGTGAAGTGACCCATCTACATGGGGTACAAACTCTAACAAGGAAGGAGTTACTTTTGTCTTGTCTTATTGATAACACGGTGAGTTGAACCCTTGTATATCCTTATGTCTAGGGTCTGGAGTCGTCATCGCATTGGATATAGCCGTGTCTGGCTACGTTGGTTTATAGGGGTCACCACCTCCTAGACACATTCCTCTTCTTCACTTGGAGAACAACGGGAAGGTCACATCATGTTCCTACCCCAAGCAGTCTTTTGCATTCATGATGTTCTCTCCTGAATTTAAGAAATAATTGCTGCCTTCTTGTCTTATCAACCCGTTGACTAGAAGTGATCAGTTATATGATTAAGATTCTGGTATGGACCTGGCTTTCGAGTCTTTCCCTCGAAGTTGGTGTAAGTTTCAATGGTCACTTATGATATAACGAAACCAAGCTATCTCATAGCAAGAACCTTCCATTTTTGGTTAGTTCACTCCTCTAGGACAATAATTATGCTTCGTGGGCTAAATCTGTGTTGATATTTCTCAAGGCTAAAGGACTTTATAGGCATTTAGTGAGCAATAAACCTGAAGAGATTGACGCTAGCTTTTTTTTTGGGAACACGAGAGACAAATAATGTCTCCAATGTTGAAAAATATTGAGGTTCCCATAGCATTTGGAGTGGCCTCCCCCTAAGTGAGAACATGATGTATTTTTGAATGAGTACTTGCTTTGTCCTTTTTGTGAAGAAGTATCAAACACAATCAAAACTAGGAAGCAATTAAGAAATAACATGAACAATATGGAAATTTAATAATAAGCTAGTCAAGTACAATATTTTTCATCAAACTACATAAAAAATGAGTATATAGTTTAGACAAAACAAAATATAACCTTTTGAAGAAAACAAATTATCCTAGTCATCATCTCAAGCATCATCATCCTTAACATGAACTATTAGAAGCCGCACCATCACCAACTTCACCATCCTCAATCTCATCTTGGTTTGGATACTTAGAAGACATGTCTATCTGTCGCCACATCTAGCGTATGTGTCATATCTCGTTGAAGAACCCTTATGTCCCTATCGTAGTGCTTGGTACGTGAATGCAAAACTTGTTCCACTCTAGCAACCCTACCAATGAACTAGCCAAGTCAAGTGTACTTGTCGGTGTCCATAGTACCTATACAACCAATATCCTAGCCAATAAGCCTTATTTGTTGTTTGGAGGTGCAACTGTAAATGTTGCATCCTAAGTGGGTGCGGAAGCTAGTGTAGGAACCCAAGCAAGTGGTGGTGTCGGATCCTCAGCAGTGGAGCTAGAGCTAGCTCCTGTACTGTTGTGGATGAACCCTCACTACGTGCAATAGGGTGTGGAGGTAGTGGTAGCAACTCTTGAGCATATGAACAACTTCATGCTAGTGTCTAACTTCCTATGGGTCCCATTGGGGCCTCTAGGAGGGGGGGTTCTTATTCTTACCGGGTAAATTTTGAACCCTCTCAGTGGGAGCAAGTTATGAATAAGACATCCTAGAGAAAGACTGTTTCCTCTAGAGGAACTCTCTATAAAGAGAGCTCGTATTTCACATTGAATGATTAGGATCACCCGTATATGTGTCGTAGAATAAGTTACAGGTCTGTATCCATCTTGATCTTGATCTAATAGTATAATAAACCCAAAGTTTAATAGGCCTTAGATATTCAACTTTAGCCCAATCTCTAGAAGTTTCTAGAAAGATATTAATGTGAGTAGTTGGCTAGAAATATACTAATGTGAGTAATTAGAAGATGTAATTGACAGAAGTATTAACGTAAATAGTTACAGGATGCATTAAATATGGTAGGTAGAAGATGATAAATGTATTAATGTAAGTAGTTGGATGCATTACATGAGGTATGTTGATGTCAGAATTTGCTCTCCGAGCTTAGTGACCAAGATCTCCATCTGAACGATTAGTGGAGGTATCAACAAAGGCAAGTCAAATACTGGAGGGACTTTGGGGGTCAACCCTCCGATGACCAAGTTAGATTTGGAGTTGTTTAGGTGGAGAGCATTCAACTAATTAGATGTTACGTAGTTTAGTTGATCTCCTCCTTTCCCTTTTTATAGGCTTGCTTGATTGTGCCATTATGGGTTCCTTATTCTTTTATTCAAAAAAGGACAATTATGCTTTAAGCTTTGGAAGTGGTCTTATTGGTTAAGTGGAGGTCTTAGTTAAGTTGGACTAGTCAAAGTTGTTATGGAGATGGACCCTGTCGAGCTAAAGGACACGTGAGCTATTGAGCTAGCGAGCTAGGCCTAATCTAAGCTGTAGAGATCTTCTCTCTGAGCACGTGCTCATTCTTCAGTTATCAGTCGCCCCCAATTTAACTTAGCGTGGGTTGCACGTGGTCTGCATTTAATGCAATTATTCGTTAGTGTCTTGGGAAGCAGAGATCGCCAAAGAGCCGTTTTGTGGTTGGTATTTAAACACATGGTGCTGCCAGTGTCCCATATGCTTCAAGAACTCCTCAAGAATCCTGGTACCCTTCTTTTCCCTATTCTTGATCTTCTTCCCTTATTTATGTTTTACTTGGACTCTCCAAGCTAGAGTATATAGGTTGGAGTCACACTTTCCAATTTCACATATGCCGATTTTGTTTTCTCAAGTGGAATGGTTGTGATCTTGATCACTTGGAGCTTTTCGTTGATAGGTCTTCTCGAGTTCAACTTGAATCTGTCTTTGGTTCTTGCTTGTCTCTTCTTACTAACACCAGTTGTCTTCCTCCTCTAACCCTTTACATCAACCACCATTGTTTTACCGCCATGAGTGACTTAGAGCGAACTTTGTCTAAGGGTACACCTTTCTTTGTATCCAAGGCTAACAAGACCAATGAGGATTCCGACTCTATTTTGGAGATCGCCTCCTCTTTAATCAAAGTTGTGGGAGCGAAACAAGTCGGGTGCTCTCTTGATGAGAAAGCTTTGGGCGAAATCAGAGGGCATTATCAGATTCCTAACTCTGTTCGCCTTCGTCTCCCTTCTCCAGATGAAACAACCAATTCATTCGGTCCTAATGAAGTTTACTTTTAGTAGTCGATCTTTGAGGCTAGACTTTACTTTCCCATTC